TGGATGTGTTTGCGTGTGTGTGTGTGTGTGTGTCTGTGTGTGTGTGTGTGTGTTTGCGCGCGTGTGTGTGTGTGTGTGTGTGTGTGTGTGTGCGTGTGTGCGTGTGTGCGTGTGTGCGTGTGTGCTCGCTTTTGGCCTGGCTCTTGTTTCGGACTCAGAGCAACAGGATGTTTATATTGAGGCTGCTACCAACCTGCGAGGAAATTCGACAAGATGTTGGTGGGCCTGAGGCCAGGAGCCAGAATGCCCCTTGCATGCGGAAACCTGCAAACTTCAGACAACCGGAACCCTACAGCGTCACAGCCAGATATCCTTCAGCAAAACAAGAAGTTTTAGTAGCAATCGCCCCGAAACCAACATCCTGACCAACAACCACGGCCCGGGCATGTGGTTCGCTGCCAGGAGCACTTGGAGCCTGAACGCCAGGCAAACCCAACTAAACTTGCAAGTTCAGGCAAATACAGTAAAGTTACGCTTAATAATGCGAAACCCTGAAGCTGAAATCCCTGAGCCCTCAACCCGAACCTGCGATAAGAGCAGCGCTTGGCGACCAAGTTTAGAAGTTTAGACAGAAAAACACTGCACGGAGGTCGAGTGCTGGAAGCGTGACCCCCCCCCAAAACAAATACAGGGGAGGCGCTTCTGTACCATGAACAGCTTTACGAACCCGAAGCAATCAGATGATTATGATTATTGACATCTTCTTCCCTTTGACACCGAAATTAGGAATACTCGACCAATGACAGCGGGATATTTTCGCAGAATAGAACTATCCCATACCGCTAAGCCGACCAAACCCCATTCCAACCATCAAGAGCCCATGCGAAGCGCCCATGCAAACCCCTCCTCAAGAAAACCTTGCAAAAGCCAAACAACTTCCTAGTTATTACAGGTCCCTTCAAACCCTTTTGCGTCCGGTCTGCAGCGACTCTACCGGGAAAGACTTGCAACAACCGATACCGCCCGCCCACCACTTTAAGCGATGAGGCGACTCGTGCGCAAAAGCCAAGTATCGGGAGCTATCTCGCAAGTCCCTTCAAACCCTTTTTTTGAGCAGGGACTGCAATGCACTAAGCCTTCAAACCCTACAACCCTTAACCCTAGCTTTTAACGTCCGCCATGCTCAACGATTCCAGGACTTTGCGGGCCTGGCTTGGCCCGTCTGCCACGGGAACCTGGGGACAGGGATGTTCCACGTTCGGTCTAGGAAGTTTGGGGCTTGGAGGACCCCCCGAAATTATTGAGACTTTTCTTTTGTTTGAGAGAAGAAAAAGAAGAAGGGGGGGGCTCCTTCGATTCCCGGCTGGATCACAAGATGTGTGTCTCTCTCTCTCTCTCTGTGCGTGCTTGTGTGTTTGTGCTGTTGGCCTCGTGCATTTTTCAACTCACAACAACAAGGTGTATTGTCAGGTTTCTACACTTGCTGAATAGCTTATACCAGAATGTGCCTGGGACGGGTTTCTACTTGCAGGGCTTGGGTTCAGGGGTGCGCGAGTGCGCTGGGAGGAAATTCGGCAAGATGTTGGTGGGCCTGAAGCCAAGAGCCAGAATGCCCCTTGCGTGTGGAATGCTGTAATTTTCAGACAAGCAGAACCCTAAAGCGCCACAGCCAGATATTTTCGTGGCAGAAGCCCCGAAACCAACATCCTGACCAACAACCACGGCCCGGGCATGTGGTTCACTGCCAGGAGCGCTTGGTGCCTGAACGGCAGGCAAGCCCAATTTAATTTGGAAGTTCAGGCAGCTATGGTACAGTTACCCTTAACCAGACACCCTCAAGCTGAAATCCCTGAGCCATCAACCGGAAACATTTGCCTCCCTTTGACACAGAAATACTCGACCAATGACTGTGGGATATCCAATCAAATGGTTCGATTCTATTCGCAGAATAAAACTACCCCATACCGCCAAACCTACCAATTCCTACCAAAACTTATTCCAACCATCGAGCGCCTCTGCAAAACCCTCCTCAAGAAAACCCTGCAAAAGCCAAACAACTTCCCAGTTATTACAGGTCCCTTCAAACCCTAAACGCCATAGCTTTTAAAGTCCACCATGCTCAATGATTCCAGGACTTTGCGGGCCTGGCTTGGCCCGTCTGCCACGGGGACCTGGGAACAGGGATGTTCCAAATTCGGTCTAGGAAGTCTGGGTTTGGAGGAACCACCAAAATTTGCCGCTATTCAGACATTTCTTTTGTGTGAGAGAAGAAAACGAGGAAGGGGGGTCCTTCGATTCCCGGCTGCTGGTTCCGGATCACAAGATGTGTCTGTGTGTGTGTGCGTGTGTGTGCGCGTGCTTGTGTGTTTGTGCTTTTGGCCTCGTACTCCAAACAGCAAGGTGTAAATTCAGGCTTCTATAGTTTCTAAAAGTTTGGACTCGAATCGGCCAGGGAAGGGTGTCTCCTTGCAGAGCTTGGGTTCAAAGGGTGCGTGAGTGAGCCTGCGAGGAAATTCGGCAAGATGTTCGTGGGCCTGAAGCCAAGTGCCAGAATGCCCCTTGCATGCGCAATCCTGCAAACTTCAGACAACCGGAACCCTAAAGCGCCACAGCCAAAGATCCTTCACTAAAACACGAAGATTTTCGTGGCAGAAGCCCCGAAACCAACATCCTGACCAGCAACCACGGCCCGGGCATGTGGTTCGCTGCCAGGAGCACTGGGTGCCTGAAAGGCAGGAAGGCCCACTGGACGCTACCGTGTGCAGTCACCCATACTGTAACCCGAAACCCTGAACCCTAATAATGCATCCTAAACCCTCAGCCCGATACATTACCTCGAAACCCTGACGCAGCAGTCTGAAAACCCTCTAGGCTCCTCAACCCGAAGCTCAAAGCCACGGGACAATTCCTAAAGCCGCACAGTTAGAAGAAACAAGCCCGTTTTCTGCACTTACAGCAAAGGCGGCCTCCCTATCAAGTTCGTCATCAAGCCTGCTAGAACCCCTAGGAAACCTTAACGAACTCTTATGAAACTCGTATAGCTCCGCCGGAAATAACGACGTCCAGCTCTACGGCGCTTATTACTGAATTTTCAATAGGGTCTTGTGAGTTTGGTAGGGGAATCAAAACGTGATTCGAATCAGGTCTCGGGGCATGTTCTCGTATAAATTTCAGGGGAACTGTAGCTATAAGGGGGTTCGGATATTGCTACAGTTCTTCGGACCCCTATAGTAACCAAAAAACATAGCCCAGAACTGGACGGAGCACCAAACCCCAGAACCAGAAGAAGTCACCATCAACCAACCCAGAACCACCATGCCTAAACCCTAAACCCTAAACCGGGCCGAGGCCCAAGCAGGATGTTCACTTGCCGGTACACTTGGCACCTGAGGGGCAGGCAAATACTTTTGAGCCGAGGCATGCGAGGGTTGTTTCGGTGCGTTTTGGTGTAGTTGGCCTGATACTTCGAACAGGGTTCAAAATACAAGAGAAGTATTAGAGCATAGTAAGCGATCCGGGGACATATTCTTGCTGATAACGCAGGCCTCTCTGTTTTGATTGTGGGTCGTGCAGCTAACGACGAGCCAGCCCTATAGAGACCCTCAAAGCCACACAGCCCAACACCTGATCTCTCAGCATACCCTCTATACATCCTTTTGTTTTGGATTCCTCCACAACTCTCTCTAAACTTGAACCTTGTACAAACCCGAAACCTTAAACCGTAAGCCCCCGTAGACGTCCGAAAGACTTTCAGCATGACCGGGGCCCCGGCAGGAGCTTCACTTCCTGGGACGCTGGGCACCTGATCCGGTGTCCGGCATAGGAGATTAAATCAGTTGGTAACACTATGATTTAGGGTGCTAGGATTTAGGATTTAGGGTTCTAGGATTTAAGATTTAGGATCCAGGATACCCACTACAGAACTATACGGCGCTCCCGAAAGCTGCATTCTTTGTGCTGAGGCCGCCATGGAACTCCATAAAACCCGATGCCCTGTAAACAAACTAAAACCATATTCCACCCAGCAAGGTCCCTTTGGCATACCCTGAACCCTTATGAAACTCTGTCTGTAAACCCTCACCCTAAGGGTCCAGGTATTTGTTTAGGAGGGTCCGGAATCTCCTAGGGAGAGCCCTTGGGTCTCTTTGGGGTCTCAGAAGTGGTACTTTTTGAGGTGCCCGAAATTGGTAGGACCCTTCGGGTATAAGGCTACAAGAGTTTAGGGTTTAGGGTTTAGGGGTTTAGGGTTTAGGGTTTAGGGTATAAGGCTACAAGAGTATACCTTACAACCAGAACTCTTGGGATGTTCGCTTCCCACTGCGCTCGGCGCATTCGAAGTTCGAGGGTGTTTACCCATAAGGCCCTATAGTACTGTAGTTCCTTTTTGGGGCTCATATATAGAATCCTATAAGGTAACCCCAAAAAGGAACTACTATGGGGCCTATAGTGGGGAGGAGACAGAGCTGGGCAAATCCGCTGACGGCAGCGGATGCTCCAAAACTACAAGGGACTAGTGAATAGCGTAAGTATGTCAGGAGCGTCGAGTGTCGTAGCAAGGGTTTAAGCCAAGGGCTTTTGGGCTTTAACCCTTTATTCCAGAGAACCCAATACCCCTTAAGTAAGGAATATACCTTAAGTCATAATATTAAGACCCCTATAATTTAGGGTATATGCCACAATTAAAGTGTATTGGGTTCTCTAGGTAAGGGGACTCAAAGCCGTTTTTAAGCGGGGTTTCGGTTCAGGGTTGTCACCTTTATATGGGCTTTTCAGGTCTCGGGCCTAGAAACCCTAAACCCTAAACCCTAAACCCTAAACCCTGAGGCCTCGGTTTGACAGTGGAAAGCGCGAGGGCTACCCGGTTACCAGAACTACGGGACTGCTCCCTGCTCCCCAGATTCCTCTGTCATCCCAAAAGGGTTTAGGGTTTAGGGTTTAGGGGTTTAGGGTTTAGGGTTTAGGGTTTAGGGTCGACCATGCCCTGGCGGGTCTGTTTGTGGAGATCAGCTTTTCGCAACGGATGTCCTTTTTTTTGTGGCTTAAGTGTAAATCTGCGTGTTCACAAGGCTCAAAATGGGGGGTTTCCGAAAATAGGGGACCCTAATATAGTAACCCTAAATACTAGGATCCCTACTAGAAGGGCCCCCCAAACTAAGGTACCCTTACTTTCTCGGAAACTCCCAAATTGCAGGGCGTGTAAAGGCGACCAAGACACCAAGAGGCTCCAAGTTGTAGAAGCCCTTTACAGGTGGGTA